CAGCAGTCAGTGGACGCCCACGGGAAAAAGGATGCGAACGTTCTTGTGGCGCGCTCCTTGTCGGGAGATTGCCCTTTCTGCGGATTGGCGCAAGTGGGCCAATGAAAACGCAGGAAGCACATGGGCTTCCCAACTTGAAGTCAAAAACACCCAACTTTTCGGCGCCTGTCTATGCCTGCGACGGGGCTTGATAGATCTGCTCACTTCGGAGCCCTCACGAATTCGAGACTCCACGGTGTTTGCAAGTGTCCACTGGCACGCCTGCAGAGTCGCTGGATCGCTGCCTGTCATTTCTTCCTGACTACCAACTTGAGGATTCGGCGCATGCCACATACAACTAAAAATGCAGCGAGAGAACAACCAGCCCTCGCGGACTTGCGAGGCAGTCGTTCGTCGTTTGTTGGTTCATCGCGAGGAGGTCGTCGGTAGTACAACATCAGGAAGTCGCGCGTGTGTTGGGCAAAGGAGGAGGTAGATTACCGCGCCTGCCAACCGAGTAGCGAGGAGCCAGGTCAAGACGCGCAGGCAGACGCCGAAATCGAAACTACTCACGGTTTGGCCGCTCCATCAAAAAACTCCATCGGCTTGTCTACCGAAACGCTAAAACGCCCTGTATAGCTCAACAATGCAAGCCAACTGCAAGCCCGTTGTGTCGCCCACAGAAATGAAGTTGATAGGCGACAGCGTGGCGCATCAGCGGCAACGAAACACAGATCATTCAAGCCCTGCTCGTGGCCGCCGCGCCATGGAGGAGTCACAATGAGAAGCGGTTGCGCATTCAATGCGTTGCAGTTTCCCAACTATAAAAAAGGCCCGATTGCAAAAACATACTCGTACCTGTTTCTTGGTTCCCGCGCCCACAGTTCGAGACACATGCAGCAACCACTCGGTCCGGTCCTCGTCAAGCTCAAGGCCACGTCGCTGCGGGAATGGTGCGACCATGCCGTGCAAGCCATTGTGCTTTTACTGGGCGTTGGCATCCTCGTCCTCGTCTCGGTTGACGCGACCGTCAACAATTGGGCGGTCAACGACTTTGTCGGGAACGGCCACGCCTTTGTGTCACCACTCGGTCGCGTCGACAATGCGCGGCAGCTCGAGAGCGAGTACAGCTTTGCGCTGCACCATAGCATCTCGGACCTTTCGCGTGTCGCCAACTGGATGCTCAATTTCACCGTGACGAGCATGGTGTCACGGAGCCCGGAAATGTACTTGCTCTCGGTCGGCACATACACGCTCACGTCCGGCGCCGTCGACGTCTGCGGCCTCATGAAAGGCGTGTACCCACTCGACTTGAATGGCACGCGCACCACCCGCCTCGGCTTTGCGTCCAACTCGATCATGTACATCCGCGGAGATGCGCTCAGCCATGCGTTCACGTCGGATCGATCCGACAACTTGGCGAATGCGAGCATGAAGTCGGCGGCGCTGACGAGCCTCGGATATGCCCCCGCACGCACCAACGTCGACGTTCGCTTGATGCAAGACCTTGTCTTGACCAACACATCGGCGGCCCAGACCCACAATGTGCACTTTTACCGGATTTTTCCCAAGAGCTTTTGCACCGGGTGCCACACGGTCGCCGAGCTTGGGTTCGGGTCGTGCAACATGACGTTTGTGTACAACGACTCGGCCAAAGTGGTCAGCGTGACGACAAGCGCCAACCTGATCGGGTCCGTCTACAAGGTCGGCTTGTTGTTGCCGCAGTCGATGTTTTCATCTGCGTCCCACTACGTGAAAGCGATTGCGATCGTGTTTGCGGTTGGCGGGTACTTGGCGAGCCGTCGGACGGTGCAGTGGAAAGAATTCGATGCGACCAAACTCGACTCGATTTGGACCAAACTTTTCCGGATCTTGTCGCCGAAAGTGTTTCCGTACCCAAGTTGCGCGCTCCGCTTTGACATGTTTTGCTACAATTCCGACATTTTTGTCTTTTTGTTTGCGACCGGCGTCGTGCTCGATATGGAAAACAGCTTGTACTACCTCAAGACGATGAACATGTACAACGCGCCGGCACCCATCTTTCGCTACTCGATGCAGCTCTACGGATTTACGACGCGACTGCTCTGGTTCAACTGCGCGCTCCTCAAGCTGCTCAAGATCCTCTGGCACGTAATTGGGTCGGCGAGCTTCAATGGCGAGAGTGCCCTCATGGCATTTCTGAACCTCCGCAACGTCACGTCGCTCTACCTGAGTGCGATCTTGCTCTTTTTCGTGCCGGCGTTCATCGATTACAACAGCAGCGTCACCATGACGCTCGACAACGCCAACGAGTGCCTTGACACGATCCACGTCGATGCGTTCGAGAGCTACTACATCCGCGCTGTGCCCGCAATCGCAGTCGGTCTCGTCGTCAACGTCCTCTTGATTGCTGCGTTGGACCATATGGTGCACTTCAACTACTGGCAGCGCGTGTCCAAGAACTCGCTCGCGCGCCAAGCCATCTTCAACAGCAGCTCGATTCTATGCGACTACCTCGACGGCATCGACATGGACGGCGTGGCGGTGGTGCTTCATTGCAAGGCGCGACGACTGAGCACGCTGCAGTGGTTCTTTATGAGCCACATGGTTATGTTTGGCCTCCCCGAGAAGGAACTCCGCGCCAAAAAAAAGTACTTGGTCGGGTCCGCGGCCACCACCAACCGGACCGCCATGCAGTCCATGAAACTTCCGAGTGAGCCCAGCGCCAGCACTGGGCGCTACATGGTGGTGCAGGACGGCGACCACCATATGCACCTCGTCGATGAAAATCTGAGCGATGTGACCGCCCTTGTGTACAACATCAAGGTGCTCAAGGACCTGCCAATTACGATCGAGTGAGAAGGAAGCACGTCATCGACGCCCAGCACAACACCACGTGGTAGCTACATGCACACGGCGTGTTTTACATCAATAATCATTAACTGCGCTTTGACTAAAATTGATGGCGCAAGCACGAACCAAGGACGAGACGAGCGCTTGGGACGACTGCGAAGAGGAGCCCAGCCACTCGACTTGACGTCAGAAAGGTTTCAGCGATGCCTCAAGCACGGACATATGACGAGGTGGTATCAGCGCATTGAGGTGTCGTTTCAAGCTGACGAAGCCGGTCGCACCGGCATGTTCGTACAGACCATGGTCGATATCTGCTTTGTTGTTTATGGCCTCAACCAGCTCCGTGGCGCCTACAGTAGAGCCACGCCAGTACGAGCGAATGGACGAAGGGGAAATTGCTTCGTAGACTCTCTGTACACAAATGGTTAGTTTTTGGAATAACGACGACGTGTCCCTACACTTTAAGGCAGTCGTATTCGCTAACATTGCTGTGTTGTCCATGTCACGGCCTATGCAAGCCCTCCTCCACCAATTTCATTCGGTTTGAAGATTTATGCCTGTGAGCATCCCGCTCTTCGCGATAGAGCATGTCAATTCAAGGCACATCACGGTGCCAATTCCTTGCGCCTGACGTGGCGACGCAGCGCCACCAGTCGAGGACCCACGCCCCTTGTCACCACCTATTTTTCGACAGGCACATGCATACATTAACAGTAATAAACAACGACGACCAATTGTCGTGTTCGATCCGTCGGCATTGAAACCGCAGATTCGCAGCTGCATACTTGACCACCGTCGACGCAATCTTGGAACCTTAAGCGCGCGACTCGTGGAAGCAAGCCTCCTTCGAATCCATCTGCATACAAGCGAGCACACTAATCTATCTTGGCCTCTGGCTTTGCCGATTTCAAGCAGCCATCCGCGACAGCGCAGTGTTGCCTTTTCATCGCCACGGCCAAGCAAGAAGCGAGCATGCGTTGGATCTCGTGTCTTCTTGTGGCCCTTGGCGTGACTGTCCACGCCCAAACGCTCGATGCCGGCGTCTGCGCCAACGTCGTTCGCAACTACGACTACCCCGGCAACGACATTGCAAGCATCAAGGTGTCGGGCACGGACCAGGCGCAGTACGCGGCGTGCTGCGACGCGTGTGCCAACAAGGACGGTTGCGCTGGCTTTGTCGTCAACTCCAAGAAGTGCTACATGAAGAGCAAGATGGTGCAGTCCGGTTACAAAGCCGGCCTCATGTCGGGGACGTACTCGTTCACGTCCGAGACCTGCTCGAGTCTCAAGCGCAACGTCGACTACTCGGGCAACGACATTCGGTCGCTCACTGTCAAGGGCAACGACCAAGCCCAAGCCGATCTTTGCTGTGATGCGTGCTCCAACACGATCAGCTGCATTGGCTGGGTCGTCAATGGCAACACGTGCTACCTCAAGCACAAGATGGTCTACTCTGGCGCCGACACGGGCTTGCTCTCGGGCAAGTACACGCAGCCCAAGATCGAGTCGGAGACGTGCGGCAACCTCATCCAGGACGTCGACTACAGTGGCAATGACATCCGAGACTTTGCGGTCAAGGGGTCGCCGCAAGATCAGACGACCAAATGCTGTGACGCGTGCTCCAAGCAGGACGGCTGTGTTGGCTTCGTGACCCACACTAACACGTGCTGGCTCAAGAAGGCGTGGGTCAAGTCAGGCACGAAGATTGGTGCGATGGCCGGGACGTACACGGCACCGCTCCCGACGTCCGACACCTGCGCGGCCATCACGCGCGGCACCGACTACCCTGGCAACGACATTCGTAGCTTTACGGTCACGGGTTCGGACCAGGCCAGGGCCGACGCCTGCTGCGATGCATGCACCAAGCAAAGCGGCTGTGTCGGCTGGATCACGCACAGCAGCACGTGCTGGCTCAAGAGCAAGATGGGAGCCGCCAACCCGCTTCCGACGGCGCTCGCCGGGACGTACGCGGCGCCGCTTCCGACGTCGGACACCTGCGCGGCCATCACACGTGGCACCGATTACCCTGGCAACGACATCCGTAGCTTCACGGTCACGGGTTCGGACCAGGCCAGGGCCGACGCCTGCTGCGATGCATGCACCAAGCAAAGCGGCTGCGTCGGCTGGATCACCCACAGCAGCACGTGCTGGCTCAAGAGCAAGATGGGAGCCGCCAACCCGCTTCCGACGGCGCTCGCCGGGACGTACGCGGCGCCGCTTCCGACGTCGGACACCTGCGCGGCCATCACACGTGGCACCGATTACCCTGGCAACGACATCCGTAGCTTCACGGTCACGGGTTCGGACCAGGCCAGGGCCGACGCCTGCTGCGATGCATGCACCAAGCAAAGCGGCTGCGTCGGCTGGACTCACCCACAGCAGCACGTGCTGGCTCAAGAGCAAGATGGGAGCCGCCAACCCGCTTCCGACGGCGCTCGCCGGGACGTACGCGGCGCCGCTTCCGACCTCCAAGACGTGCGCGGCCATCACGCGCGGCACCGACTACCCTGGCAACGACATCCGTAGCTTCACGGTCACGGGCTCGGAGCAAGACCAGACCGACAAGTGCTGCACGGCGTGCTCCAACACCATCAGCTGCGTCGGCTGGATCGTCCACAGCAACACGTGCTGGCTCAAGCACAAGCTGGGTGCGTCCAACGCACTCTCGACCGCACTCTCTGGCCAGTATGTGCAGCCGGCGATCTCGTCGGGCACGTGCAGCAACCTCGTTCAGGACGTCGACTATGCCTTCAACGACATCAAGCACTTTGCCGTGACGGGGACGCCCCAGGACCAGACCAACCAGTGCTGCGAAGCGTGTTCCAAGCAAGACGGTGCATTGGCTTTGTGACGCACAGCAGCACGTGCTGGCTCAAGCACAAGATGGTGCGGTCGGGCCCCATGGTTGGCGCCATGGCCGGCACGGCACCCCTCCAAGTGCCCACGTCGCAGGTCTGCGGCGCCGTCACCACCGGCGTCAACTACCCCGGCAACGACATTGTGAGCTTTCCCATCAACGGCACGCGCCAGGACCAGACCAACACGTGCTGTGATGCGTGCACCAAGACCACGGGCTGCCTCGGGTTCGTGCTCCACGACAAGACGTGCTGGCTCAAGTCGGTCTTGACTAACCTCACGCCCTTGAGCAGCGCTGTCTCGGGCACATTTGTATCCGGTGGCTCGGCCCGGCGCGCGTGCTACGCCTAGTTGATCTATGACTGCGCTTCCCTGTTCTACCTCGAGTCTATCGACGTCCAACTTGCTGTTTCTTGTATGAAATGCCTGCTAATATACATTTCCCGTCTTGAATTTGTCGGTATTGTTAAAGTGAGAGAGCTCACAGAAAGGATATTCGAGAACCAAAACTATGAAATTAGGAGCCTAGGTAATAACTCGCCAGAGTCCGATCATACGCGTACCTCACTGTATGGTGGTAGGTCGACGTACGCGCAGCCTTTTCACTCACCCTCTCTGGTATTGCACCTGGCATTGTCTGACTGCACACCGAGACTCCAGACGTACTACGTGATATCTATCTACTAACGTTAGTACCTAACATGTTCCGCGTTCAAATCAAATGAGCAAAAATGAACTCTATCAGATTTCGCATTCGTCACGCTGGAATATGCGTGGGAGTTGGCACCAGCTCGTGGGAGTTGGGTTGTACAGCGCACGGAAAGATCCATTTCCTGCGGCGAATCCCACTAACCGAGTGATAGCTTCAACGAAACAACCCAAAATCTTCAACTCTGGCGACGTAGGGCGACAACAGCTCATACGGGTTCTTTGTGACACTTAATTACCCAGCGGCTACGGTTGGTATTATCGTGCTTGCATCGGGGCACGTGATCGCACACAGACGGGAGATGACCGTCGGCTTCTTGTGCAGTCGCAGCACCGTCTCGTCCGTGTACAGGTTGTCCGACAAGTCGATATGGCGAAGTCGCTTGCACAGGCGGCACGTTTTGACGGTCGCGGCCAAGCTTCGATCCGTGAGCTGGTTGCGATCCAAGCGCAGCGACTCGAGTGCGCTGCAGCCGACGAGACCCGGCAAGATGGCCGTGATCCCATCGTCAAACAAATCGTTGGCCGACAAGATGAGGTGCTGCAGCGCGCGTAGTGTCGGGAGGAGCGGGCCAACTGCACGGCTACCCTGGATCATGAGGTAGCAGTGTGACAAGTTGAGTGTCGTGAGCTGCGCCAAGTTAGGACCGAGAAGTGTCACCACGCTCGTGCTGGGGTGCCACGACAGGTCGAGCGACATGACGCGAGCGGCCGCCAGCTGCGCTTTCAGTTGCGTCGTGTACGACGTCGGCGCGTGCGGGTACTCGATGCGGAGCGTGCGCAGCGTGCGTGGCAGTGGCCGTTGCACACATGCTTCCAAGAGCATTTTGGACTGCGATAGGTTGATGGTTCGCAATGTACGGGAGGCCGCCAAGGCGGCTGCGAGCCGCGTCGCGGCCGGTGAAAGCACAGCGCTATGATACGGCTCGGCATCGATCCAAGCAAACGACATCACGGGCACTTGAAAGAGCCACGCGATGAGCGCGTAGCTGCCGCTGTCGGACAAGAGATCGCCGCTGTACGAGCTCGCGTGCAGCTGAAAGTCGACAACGTTCGAGTCTTGGAGGCGGTGCAAGATCGGGTCGATGTCGCGGCCCCGCCATTGCGGGTGGTGGACGTGTATATGCAACTTCGTCGCGTGCACGCAGTGGCCAATCGCCGTGGCCAGTCGCCCCAGCGTCAGTGCTGTCAGCGGTACATTTGGAGGCTCGTTTAGACAAAGCACGAGCGACTGGACACGGTGTCCGTGGTGCAGAAGTATGTGGTGTACCTGCGAGACGGTCACGCTCTCAAGGTCCAACTGCAGCCGCACGGACGATCGAAGCAGTATTTCCAGTGGCTGCAAGGAGGGCGGGAGGCGGTTGAGCAGCGCCAAGCTGCCTTGCTCGAGGCGACACGACGGGTGCCAACGCAAAAACCCGGCAACGGATCGTACATCGGGCTGTGCGCGGGCAACGTCATCAAGCGAGACGTGCGGCCATAGAGCGTCTTCTGCCATACACGTCGCAAGATACATCGCGCAGTGCAGCGGTGTCGTCCAATGGGAAGCCCCCACGGCGCGAAGCAGCGTAAACAACGCGGTCGATGACGACACGTACTGGGCAATTCGCTCGATAAGAGCTGGAGGGACGACCTGTGCCGGTTGGGATTTGTGTACCATGGAGCCTGTACCGATGTGTCTCTATTTGTGTCCACCGACGTGCCGGCGGAGAAGTTGGGTGGCGTTGGCGTTCAGCAAACGGCGCCCAAGTTCTCGCCAACCGCGTTGGCGCATGCGAAGAAGCCTCTTCGCATGCTTATAGCTTATTCCATCGAAAGACGTTGGCGGTCGTTGCTTCAAGCGTCGTCGCGCCACGAGCGACTGCCACGTCGATCGTCACGCAGGCTCTAAAATCGATTCTCGCTCTAAAAATCCACCAGCCAATCAAAAACGTATAAACGGCTTCGAATTTTCTGTTGTATCCAATCATTGCGTCGATTTGCTATCCTAGTGCAGCACGACGGTTGTGTCCTTGAGGATTTTGATATTGTAGACGAGGGGCGTAATATCCGCGAACTGCGCGTCGAGCAAGTGCACATTGCGGTCGCCGTCTTGCACGACCATGCACTTGTTGACTCGTGTCGAATCTTCCGAGCCCGTGGCCGTCGTAGCGGACGAGAGCACCAAGGTTTGATGCGTTTTTTTCTTCCCTGGAGCTCCTTCTCGGGAAGGCCAAAGCACGTAACATGGTTCATGAAAAACCACTGCAGCGTACTGAGGCGGCGCGCCTTGCAGATGAGCAGCGAGCCCTTGCTGTCGGCACCATGGTCGGGCTCGATGCCGCTGAGGTAGTCGCACAAGATGGAGCTGCTGTTGAAGAGGGCTTGGCGCGCAAGCGAATTCTTGGCCAGGAGCTGCCACGACTTGTAGTAGAAAAGGTGGTCGGCCGCCAAGATAACACCGAGGTTGACGGCAAAAAGCACCGTGACCGCGGGCACGGCGCGGAGGTAAAAGCTCTCAAACGCGATGACATGGATGGCATCGAGGCTCTGAATCTTTTGGTTGAGGTCGTGGCTGACGCTGTTGGTGTACTCAATGTACGGCGGGACGTATGCGAGCATAATGGCACTGGCATACAGCGACGTGACACTTGTAAAATTGAGGTACCCCATGATCTACACGTGGGTTCTTGCTGAGATGTCGCATGTTTCTATATCAAGTGCGACTGAAGCGTACCGCGCTTTCACCATTGTACGACGCGGTCGAAACAAGGTTCCAGACAATCTTGAGCAGCTTGAGGACCGCGCAGTTGATCCAGAGAAAACGCATCGTGAGTGCATACGTTTGTAGCATGTACCCAAACGACGGCGCATCCGAGTTGTACACATTCATGACGCGCAGAAAATAGAGGCAATTGCCCATGTCGAGAAGCACGCCGGCCGCAAACAAAAAGACAAACAAGTCGGAATTGTAGCAAAACATGTCAAAGCGGAGCGCCAAACTCGGGTACGGAAAGTATTTTGGCGAAATGGTCCGCAAGATTTTGGCCACAATCGAGTCGACTCTGGAACTATCGAAATCAGCCCATTGGACGGTGCGACGGCTCGCCAGATACCCGCCGACGGCAAACACGATCGCCATGGCTTTGATGTAATGAGATGCCGACGAAAACGCCGACTGCGGCAACAACAAGCCGACCTTGTAGACGGACCCAACGTCGTTGACGCTGCTGACAATCTTGAGCGTCTTGGCCATGTCGTCGTACATCATGGTCGCCCGACAATGGCCAAATCCGAGCTCTGGAACGGGACTGCACCCGGTACAAAAGCTCTTTGGAAAGAGCTTGAAAACATCAATGCGGGACGGTTGGAGGCGCGAATGGTTGGCAATCGGAATACCAGTTGTGAGACGCATGTCGGTGCCCGTGCGACCCGGTGTGTACCCGAGGCTCTGAAGCAAATCGTCTTGCATACTCGCATTGGCCATCATCTCGGTTGTAAAGAGGTGAGAGAGCGCACTGCCCTTGTAGTACGTCACCGCGTTGGAGGCCACACCGAGGTATGCGATCGAGGACGCAGCAATGTCAAAGGGGTACGTGGCGACTAGAATCTCGCACTGGTCGATGCTATTCGTCGTAAGCGGGAACGACCCGACCGAGATGAAGTAGAGATCCGAGCTCTTGGTCACCATCGCGTGCACGGTATAGTTGACCATCCAAAACCCGATTTTGGACAAGTCGTCCAATCCACTCGTGCTCGGAAAGCTGTACTGGGCCTCGAGGTCCGCCGCGTGCGAGACCGCCGCGATCGGTGTCAAGAACGCGTATGCGTCACCGATATAGTCGTTGAGGGCCCAGTTGTTGGTGACGCTATCGATTGCGACCAGTAAAATGACGACAAGACCGAGAAGCACGTCCAACTGCCGCATAAGCGTTGCCAAGCGCGCGCTCGGCGGCTTGACACGGACACCGTACGACGTGGGACCATCGGGCGTCAGCGGCAACATTCTGCACTCTATTCGCGTCGTCTCGTTGTGTCGCTCTATGAAAGCAGGTTTCTCCACCCATCGGTTTCATGGCTTTGAATATCTATCGTATCCAAAAACAACGTGCACTTTCTAACGTATACCTCGAGCAACATGACCGGTCGATGTCGATGTATCATTCGCTGCCCTCTACGCACCGCGACGCGCGTGAACCAGCCGTCGCGTTCAGGCTTGTGCGTGGCAATTGACGCAACTGCCCTGTCGCTTTTAGCGCAAAGCGGTGATTTGGTTTCAACGACGGAGCGAGTGCACTCTAAGTTGAAACGGTTGCAATCTCTCTTGGCGCACGTCGAGACCAAACTGCGTGGGCCATATTCGTTCTATAGTGCATGTACACCCACGCACGAGTCTTCCCTTCTGGACGACGAAGGACCTGCAATGTCCGTGTTGCGTCCGTGAATGTCGACACCTGAGACGAGCCGATCTCGTCATAGCGATCCCATAATCTCAAGATCTCGAAACGGCGCATACGACGACCCGTAGTTATGTGGCAACTGGCAATGGTGTCAAGAATGATGCAACGCCGTCACCACGTCGCTCAGTGCGACGAAGAAGGCCGAAACTATGGCAGCTTGACGATTCCTTGGCTGCACGGACCAGGGTACCCTTGGCACGGACGCTTTCTCTTGCTCACATGATGGCGAGCGGCGGTGGCACCACCGATAGCGTTTCGTCGTCCCGCCCATTGCCCAACACGACGCCTGTCTCAAGAGCAGCAACCGCTCGAGTCTTTTTCGCGTGGAGAAAAGCGGCGGCCAATCAACTAATCAATCAGTCAATCAATCAGTCAAATGTCTTGGCGTTGAAATTAATGGCTCACGCCTAAAAGAGCACCAAGTAGCCATAGCAAATCTACGTGCACCATTTCGACCACAAACGTTCCAAGAAATGGGCTATATCATTGCCGAGGACGTGCATCGAACAAATGGCCATCGCGCGTCGAAGAAGCTTCTCGACGGCAGAAGCTAGCGCGCATTAGTGGTAGGCATGTCTCTCTATAGCGATGAAGAACCCAGATACCGACCGACAGGTACAGTCCTCCTACACTGCCTCCTACGCATGGTTTGATTGAAACACAACTGTACCAGGACCATTGAGCTGGAGACACAACAAGGATTCATGCCCATGCACCATCGCCTTGTTTGGATCCCACATCTCAAATCCATTGCAGAAGGCGTCATTTTAGCCAATCACATGCCGTCAAATACAACGTCAACTTCAACAAGTAGCGTGGCATGGCCAGAAAGGGCAATGTCAGATCCGCTTTTGCGTCATGCGTTGGGTCAACTTGCTGAGCCTGCTGCTTCTCTGCCTCGCGCCGGTCGTCGAGGCCGCTGCCTGCACTGACGACGAGACGGCGGCGGCCCTCGTGCCATACAAGGCCGAGCTCGCGCTCAACCTCGCGCTCTGCGGCAGCGACGTGGGCTACTCGACGGCTGCGATCGCCAACGGCGACTTTTTCTCGCCGTCGACGACGACGCCGGCGCGGGTCACGGCCTTTCTTAAAAGCGTCAACTGCCGCGCTCTCTTCATTTTGTATCAAAAAGCCACGAGCAACTTGAGATGCTCGACAGGCTACCAAGGCGTCACGTTTGAGCAGTACGCCGCCACGCTACTTCCGTCCAGTGCCGCAACCCCAACGACGCCGACGACGGTCAAGCCCGGCACGGCCAACTGCACCGACGAGAGCGCCACGGCGGCATTTGCGGCCATTGAGGCCGAGCGATCGCGGTTCCTCTTGCGCTGCGCCATCGACATGGGCAGTATTCCGGTCGCGTACCTCTACAACAATACGCTCAAGCACAAAATCACAGACGCACAGTTTACGGCCTTTTTAGCCAGTTCCGACTGCGCGGCGGCGGTCGTGGTCGAGAAGAAGGCGTGGGGCGCGGTCGTGCCGCCCTGCGTCCTCTACGACGGTGCGCTGGCCTTTACGACAAGAGAGATTAGCGCGTGGACGTTCACCGAGTACGCCGAGCGCTTCTACGAACGAAGCATCCCCTCGACGACGTCGCCGGCGCCGAGAAGCACCACCGCGGTGCCACGCACCAGTACTACGAGCACCACCGCGGCGCCACGGCCAGTTGCCCAGTCGACCGCGGCACGATGCTATTCGACGAGTGCTCTTGTCGTCCTTGCCTTGGCTGCATGGGGTTGCTACAAGTGAGAAGCTTAGTTGCTTTAGGTATGAACCGTTTTTCACCATGTTCGGCACCTTCTCGTCAATGAGGCGCGAGGAGCAGGCCCGGGGTGTGTCATGACGCATGAATCCAGTATATACCTACGTAATGACTAGCCAAGGGAATTGGGACGAGCAATCTCCGTCTTCTAAACTCACTCGCAAGGGCTCGTTTTGCGCATTTCTAGTCGCCAGTGGACCACTCCCAAGGGGCCACATGAAGGCCTTGACGACGCGCTCCGTGAGCTGGGTCATGGCGTAAACGAGTACTACATATTGCATGTTTGCGTGCCCTCAAGTTGCCACCAGGAGCGAGTACAACCTCCAACGAGATGCTGCTGCTGCAAACTCGGGATGAAAAACGAGTGGCTGTCATAGCATCGAAGCCGTTCGTCGCGCCTCGAAGCTCTTCGCCCTTTCCACGCAAATGATTGGTGCATCGGACTACTGCTACCGTGCCTGCTCCAGTTGTGGCCCACGGTTGACCTCGCCTCGATCGTCCCTCGCAGTTGCCACCGCTGGAATGGGAAATTCATCGACAGCTGGTATAGTAAAACACACACACTGCCATATCGTCACACGAGTCGCCATGGCAATGGACAACATGTACCACATGGTGGACATGTCATGGCGCAGATGATCGTCTGCCCTGGACGCACCACTGACCACGGAGCCCAAACGTCCAATTCCTCGTCATCCGCCAATCCAACGACACCAACCGAATCAATCTAGCCAATCAATGACCGCCGTGACGACCAAAAGCTACTTGTTGAAGAAAATGCGCTCGTACAGGCGACCTGGAACCTCACTTTTTCATTGGAGATGCGCTGGTATAGCTACCTGGCGCTCGCAGTGCTGTGTCTCTCGCTGCGCGTTGACGCTGCAAAATGCACGGACGCCGAGATCACCACCGCCCTCACACCGTACTCGGGCTCGATCGCAAGCGCGATTACACTCTGCGCCAACGACATGGGCTACACGCAGGCCGACCTCGTCGCGGGCAAGTTCCTCTCGTCGTCGATGACGCCGGCGCAAGTGACCGTCTTTCTCAAGAGCGGCAACTGCCACACGGTCTTCGCCATGTATCAATTGGCGACGGGCTCGCTTCCGTGCGCCTCGCAGTATCAAGGTGTGACGTTTGAGCAATTCGCCGCGACGATCACCCTTCTTCCATCATCCACACCGGTCACGCGAACGCCAAAAACGGCCACTCCAGCAACGAGCGAGTGCGCTGACAGTGTCGTCGTCGCGGCCTTTACACCCGTCGACAAGGAGCGCACACGCCTTCTGGAGCGCTGTGCGATCGACATGGGCAGCATTCCCGTCCAATATCTCTACAACGGCACGCTCAAGGCCAAGATCACAGACGCGCAGTTTACAGCGTTCGTGGGCAGCTCCGACTGCGCGGCTGCAATCACGATCGAGAAAAAGGCGTGGGGCACGATCACGCCGCCGTGTCAAATCCAATTTCACTCTCTCTTATTCTCGACGGCCGAGATCAGTACGTGGTCCTTCAAGGAGTACGCCCAGCGCTTCTACGATCGCTCGATCCCGTCCACGAATGCCCCACCCGGTGGCAGCAGCAGCGGCAATGTGACGCCGTCGCCATCCCGCACGACGGCCAAGCCCGGTGGCATGCCATCCGCGTCTGCGCCAAGCATCTCTATTTCGCTGTTGCTTAGTCTTGTCCTCGCTAGTCTCTTGTAGAGAGGGATAACATAAATGTCAGATGCATTTCCGACTTTGTCGGTCTACAGTTTATATACCGCGAGTGCGGTTGGGAGCCTTCGAATGGACCTTCGGCGTGCGAAATCAACCATAACTAAGCTCCAGCCTGTGCCAACTTCCTGGATCCGGCACCGCTGCATGTTCTTGCCTGGAGCCGCGCCAAAGAACGATATATCAATGACCTCGTACCGGTATCATCGTCCGTTCGCTGTGTCGAACCGATGACGCGCCAGAAGCAAAGGCACATTAGATGCGACGCGTCACAAAACCGTTGCGCCCATGAAGGAACGTCTCTCTGGGGCAACCAACCGCATTGATGCCACCGATAGCCGTTTGTCACTTCTAGTTAGTCCCTACAAAGTACTTCATATAGTATACATATCAACGAATACAGTATTCAGCTTCGGGTCGTGCCAAGACATCATTTTGAGATTAAGACATAATTTTGAGATACATATGTATAATTTTGAGATTGCCTTTTGTGTCACGAAACGCGACGCCGACGGTTTCGCGGCAACAGCCGGTACAACCTATTTATCCATTTCGTCTCAATCCGGTCCACCTTGGACATTGTCTTAAGCGCGTCGCTCGCCATACCCCATAGACCAGCTCATGAGCTACACCCACGCAATTGAATCCTTGATACCATGCCCTGCTAGATCCACAGTTGCTGCTGCGTAGCGAAAGCGCTTCGTCTGTACACGCCATCTGTTGCCGCATAGAGCAGTGTACTATTACATTTTGACAAGGCCCGCACTCTCGGTATCAAATGATAACATCATTTCATAAGTCCATATTATAGATTTCGCGAACCTAGCTGTGCCATTTGAACCTTATTCGAATGTCGTACATGTACACGCATGGAGTCTGATGCCTTGTGCACCACTCTCTCGCACGCCAAAATGAGACACTATGGAGAATGCTCGTCATGATCATGGGATCGGGTTGACCACCTGGTTGCGTTTTCCAATTCGTGAGATGCCAGAGTCGCGGTCGATGCTTGCGGCGTATCGCAGACAGCGACGGCGGCGACGTGTCCTTCATCCACGCTGACTCGAAGCAGCCTATTTTGCAACTTGCTATGGCCGTCGCCGTTGTCGTCGTCGGCCTCTTGCTCGGGGTCGTCGTCTCGCCCATCGCCGCGGCCGTTGCGACCATCTACCTCGAGGCCAACTACAGCGGCTTGTCGCTCGACCTGGACGTCTTTAGCGGCAACGCGAGCCTGCCGTGGTCGCTCGGTATTGCGTCGTTGCGTATCTCGCCAGGGTACGAGGTCGTGGGCTACGAGGCGCCGGCGTTCCAGGGCTACTATATGGTCTGGGATGAGGACGCGCCGTCGCTCGGGTCGATTTGGTCGTCGCGCATTCTGTCGTTCAAGGTTCGCCCCGTTACGAACGACCTCGTGCTGTCGCCCAACAACCTCCAAAACGTCGTGAGTGTCTACCAAGCGAGCAACTTTTCCGGGCAACGGCGGTCGCTGCACCTCGGAAAGGCCACGTTCAACTCGCCGCTGGCGCGCGCCGTCATGTCGATCAAGGTCACCCCAGGATACCTCTTTGTCGCGTTCGACGGACCTGACCAATCGGGCAAGTCGACGTCGTTTGCAGCCGACGCTGAGGCGCTTGCGACGTGGGACGCTCGCATTCTATCGTACGACCTTCGACGAGTCTCCAATGCGACGGTGACACCAGCAACGCTCGTGCCACCGCCGCGCCCGTCGACACCACCCACCCCGACATCGACCGACGAAGCGACCAATTGTACGTACTTGTTATATGTGTTTTGCGATGGCTTTTGTTGACAACTTTCTTGACGGTAGACACCACCATCATCCTTGTGTGCACGGCCGCCGTCGTCGTTCTTGTCGGTCTCGTCGGTCTCTGCCTCTTGCGCCGCATCAAAGCTGCCAAATCCAAAGGCACGTCGACCTCCCAGGGCGCCACATCGCGTCACAGCCAGGACGAGAGTGCGTCACTGGCGATCTCGTTTGACGCGATCTACAAGCTCGCGTTGGACGGCTCGCTATTGTCGCTCGAGCAACTCATTGGCTGTGGCGCGTACGCTGAAGTGTGGCGAGCCTCGTTCCAGTCACAGCCCGTCGCGGTCAAGACGCTCCTCTCAAACCGCGCGACAAACCAAGGCATATCAGATTTTGTGCACGAAATTGCACTCATGGCCAGGTATTGTCATATCACTTTTGAACTGTCTCATTTCGCTTTTTCGTCTAGCTTTGACTCGCCTTACATTGTCCGTGTCCTCGGCGCGACGTGGCATCGCCCGTCGGACCTCAAGTGCATCATGGAACTCATGAACCTCGGCGACCTCAAAGACTACTTGGCGCACCATTCGCCCAGCGCGTATCCGTGGAGCCAGAAACTCGCTGCGATCCAAGCGATTGCCAATGCGCTGGTGTACTT